TTCAATTGTTGAATAATCTCATTAAACTTGCTTTGATTAAATGCAACTAAAGTAATCTATTGACATATCCTACAGGGAACCTTTGCATGCAACACAGGCACATACTTGAGAAAGGATTTTAGGCCATCTTTGAGTTGATTTTGAACCTTAGCTATTGCTTCTACAAAATTATATCCCTAGTTAGCCATGTTTGAGCCTTCAATGAATGATGATTTTTTTTTTCTCGAAAAACCCATATGATAACCGAGCCACAAAAAAAAAAAAAATTTACACTTAACATACCTTGCTATCCAATTTTTTCTTGCACCCTCTTGTAAATCGGTATGACATAGAAAGTCAAGAAAAACAAAAAAAAAAAGATGGTGGCTACTGTTCAATGAAGAATCGAAAAAAAAAAATTGAAAGAAAGAAATACCATTTCTAGGCAAAAGACTGAAAAGCAAGAAAGAGGTGTGCTACATTAAAAAAGGGGATAGCTTTTGAATACCATTGATGTCGTTTCATTAGCCACTAACCTCTGGCCACATTACAACCTATAGAAAGTCCTAATTGATCTCAAGTCTAATGCATGTGTGTGTTGTCGACCGAAAACTGGGGTATGTTAAATAGTATTTTTTTAATTGCATTGAATTCTTCCATGAGATTATGCCAAGAACATGATTAGCCTACTTTCTTAAGACTTTCACTCCCTTTCTAACTGTGCATGTGATTCTTCGATTGACCATCCTCTGATCACATGCCCTTTGAGAGACAAGTCATTATAATCGGAGTGAATTTTTTTGCTGAGAGCATTCTAAGAGAGATTTGAGAAATCAAAGCTATCCATGGAAGGTGATAAAGTATTATGTTTGTTATATAACAATTCTTGCTACTAGAATGATCATTCCTACTACACAAGGAATTCCAAATACCAATGTAACAAGTGTTTATTTTTGTATAGAGTACGTACCATTGACAGAAAAGTGTTCGGGAAACAATTCAAAAATTAAGAGATGTGTGCCTCAATGATTCTGTTGCTAACTCATTTTGACAAGAAATCTTACATATACACATCTTTTAATTGGAGTTTGTAGGTAGCTTCACTGGAAACCTTCACGAGACAAAACTCGTCCACTAGGGATCACCTGAGGATTTAACGGCTTATTGCATATGCTAAATGCAATCGTGTTATCTACGAAAGTGATTTTATTTTGTTATGTTGTTTATTACTAGGGACTAGTAATATTTAGGTTAGGGGGTGTGATTAACCCTAATTAAGGTATAATTTAATAGGTAAATTGTGTTAGTTGAATAAAGTTAAACTAGTCAAAATAAATCAAATTAGAATTAGTGTGTGAATAAAGGATAATGCATTAATTGTTGTTCTTTTCAGGATTTTGTGCGTCAAAGCTACAAACTACTGGGGTGCCAATTATCAAAGCTCAAAACAAAGGAGGATCAAAGAATTCAAGGCCACCTAACAAGATTTTCAAGTCCACCTAACAAGATTCAAAGTCACCTAACAAGATTTTCAAGTCCACCTAACAAGACTCTTCAAGTCCACCTAACAAGATTCAAGGCCACCTAACAAGACTTTCACCCTCCCTTATTGCCTATAAATACCACCCCTTAGGACTTGTAAAACATTCATCTTTTGGTAGTGGAAAACCCTCCAAAAGTATTATTGCTTTCCTTATTGCTTATAGCTTTCTTTAAGTATTGCTTTCTTTTATTGTATTCTTGCTTCCTTTTAATTTATTGCTTTCTTTTACTTTAAGTATTGCTTTCTTTTATTGTGTTATTGTTTTCTTTTACTTCCATTGCTTGAGCTTCCTTCTTCCCTTAGAGGAGTGAAACTCTTCCACTTTTCTAGAGCTTTACCAAAGCCGTGAAGGGTGGAACGTGATTCACTCATTCTTTGTCGAAGATCGGCTCATTGTGTAAAATGTGTTACCTTGTAACTCCTCTACTTGGAGGGATGAACATCACTCACTTTTCTAGTTTTAACAAAGCTATGAAGAGTGAGTAGTTTCTCATCCAATCTTTAGTAAGAGGTGGTTATCCAGAAGTTAAATTTATGCAATTCGTTTATGCTTAGTTTTAGTCTTTATTTTTTTTATAATGTCTTCTCATCATATTGTTGTCTTTATTTTAAGCATGAATAGCTAAATCTCTTAGTTGGCAAAACCAAGAGGAACCTCCACTTGGGTATACCATTTCAACTCATTCTCCTCCCCTCTTTTCAGAGTTCAATGGTTCGGTTTGACTGGGTTGAGGGTGGATAACTTGGTGAGTCTTTTGATATTCCGTAGGCCTAGTCACAGTTTATGCTTAGATACTCACCAATCTTACCCCTAGCTTCCCACGAATCAATACTAGCATCAAAACAACTTCCAACAATCAAAGATTTTACACTTTCTTTCTCCCCAAATCACCTTCCCCTCGGTTTACTTCCTTCCCCGTGGAAACGACCTTGAAATACCACCAAATAAAACACGATCCGCGAAGGTCTCCTTGCGCTTGGGGAGCACTTTTGTTCACACACTCACATTTGAAATCTCATTCATCCACCATTTCGTTGCCCTTTCTTTTGACATCATCCCTAGGAGAGTGACACTCCCCTTTATTTATATCCTATACATGCTAAAAGGTGATGTTTATAGGTTAGAAAACAACAAGAAAATTTGTCAAGCACTCACTCATGCACCTTATCCAGAGTCCTCACCAGCTCCCACAACACAATGCAATGCATGTGTGTAAAACATTTGTCCTTGATGAAATACATCCAAAGATCATTTTGAAATACAATCATACGTTCATAAAACCCATTCATTGTTAGATGTTTCCCATCAAATGAATCATTTATATAAACCAAAACCATGTGTCTTTGTTGGGTATTGGAGTTTGGAATCACACCGCTGGCTCCGTACGCCATTACACTTTTCCAGAATTTCATCTCAGGGGAGTGTATGAACCAAGTAACTGGGTCTTTCATTCGAGGAAGTGTATAGCCCTTTTTGTTATACTCAACACAAGTTTTTCATGTATGCAATCGTGCGACTCAGTGGAATCTTCAATCCCACTTTCCTGAGCCCACCTTCAACTACCATATATGATGTTTGAATCAATCACGTCCACACACATTCACACTCATGCCTAAAACCATGAATGTGATTTCATATCATGCCCAAAATGTAATGAATGCCAAATGAGCCATTTAACCACATATTTTCACTTATGTCATGACAATTAATATCAATTGCATACAATTACCATAAATCAACATGATGCTAATATATTAACACATGTAACAACTTATTCATCCTCAACAAAGTTCACATAGTACTTAGAAAAACACCAAGAAGGCAACAATAGAATGCATAGTATGCCCAAAAATGTTAAGTTTCAAGGGATTACATAAGTACTTCCTCAATACCGAACTTTGCTAGGAATTGATCTAGGCCAATTCCATACCCATTTCCTCCTTTTTTTTAACCATAGTCAAGTGACTTAGGTTATCCCATACCCTTACCCATTTCATAAAATATTCTAGGTAAGAAAATAAACCAAGGTAGGAGAAACCCTACCTCTTGGAGCGTAAATAGAAGGTAGAAACTTCAAGAACTCCAACACCACCCCAAAAATTTGATTTTTTCAAAATTCATTCTTTGAATTTTCGGTGAAATCCATCGTTCTTGGTACGTACGCGTAGCCCTCGTCGCGTAGACCAACTTTAATTATTGGTTCGATGAATTCTGACCGACGGAACTCCTTGGATCGTAAGAAGAAAGGTAAAATTTTAGATTTTCTCTCCTCTCCCTTTTCTTTCTTCAACGTCTGATTCAGCCGGCCAAATGGGGTGAAAATATATGATTTTTCAGATATTTAACCCCTATTTATATTTTTTAATTGTGCGGTCCACATTGCCTCGCACATTTATTACTTTCGGATTCGTTTTTAACCCAAAACGTTTTAATTAATTCCTAGTTTCAGTTCAAATTAATTTTATTTAAAATTTTATCTAATTATAAGGAAATTTTATAAAAAATTTTTGGGGATCTTTGTGAGGTTATTCGTCATCCAATTGTCTCGTAAAACGTGTAAAATTCGACTATCTCAGAATTCGATGAAAATTGAAATGACAACTTGATTTCGTGATACAAATTCAACGATGAGGTTTGTTGCATCATCCGAGTTTTACCTTTTTTTTCAAAAAAATTTAAATTTAATCGGGTTTTACAATGTCAGGATGTTTCTTTCTCCAAAATGCATGACAAAGTTGAGTAATGTGATAGTAATCCTTAATACTTAGCAATGAACCATAAACCTCACGAGTATCACTAGCCATTGTTATAATCGTCTTACCATATATCAATGGCACATAGAGTCATTTGACGAGCTTTCTCGTTAACCGAGATTCTATGAGAGCATACTTATTATTATCCAATCTTGAATGCAAGAACTCTTGAAGTTCATCTTTCAAACACAAATACAAATCTTGGATTACCTTTTCAGGAGGTGGAAGAAGATTCATTCGCCTACCCATTTCAGCATTAAGCAAAAGATAACTCCTGATTTGATAAGCACTAGCAGATGCATCTTGAGTCGCTGGAACCCTATTCAAACCACGAATTCTTTCGAGATCACTAACTCTTTCATTAGACAGAACCTTTGCTAGGAATTGAAATGGATCACTAGCTTGCAGTGCTAAGTGAATGAAACTTTCTTCCGATTCAATCATTTCTTCACAGTTTTGTATGTCCCACCAAAAAGATTTATTTAACGATGAAATGTCTTATACTTATACTTAAAGGCTGCTGTTGCACATGCTAATTTCATTCTTAGAGAAAGCTCCTCACGCTTGCTTAGTTCTGGTGCTTTAGCAATAGAGGCAAATAAAATAAAACTTTTATCCAAATCACGCTCGTGAAAATGCAATACAATAGAGCGGTAGATTCTACCACGGAAGTCCATGAATGCAGGCAGATAAAATTGATAACCAGCGTATGCTCTCGCAAGAATTAAGACGAATTCTTCAAACCTAGCTCGCTGCACCCGTCTAAAATTGCCATTGAGATGCCAATGTCAGCCGTAGCTAATGCAGGGGCATCATTCATGCCATCACCAATCATGGCCTTGTCCTCTGGTAGAAGTTCTGCATGAACTACCTACCTCTAAAGCATTCCCTAACTGGTTTCCCTTCCATTAGAACAATTCATCTTCGTAGCATTAAAATGTCAAGAATATAAAGGTGTCAATGAGTGTCAAGGACTTGTATTCGATCAATATCAACTGCTTACAATGTATTTAAGATTGACTCATTGCACATGAATGGCAAGTGAACTATAGAAATTAAAAGCTATATGCATCACCTTATCTTGTGCATGCCTAGCTGCTGCATGACAATCTCCTGTAAGCATAGCTGTTTTAATGCCCATTGTTTTCAATTCTTTAATCACCTCTTGGACCCCAGTTCGACAAACATCAGAGAGACTGAAAATTTCAGCACGAAGAGAATTCAAGAATATGTATCCAAAAGACTTTCCTTTTGTAGCACCACCTTCTAAGATTGGAACTGGAAGTTCGAAGTTTTAAATGATTAGAACAAAGCAAGAAGAAATAAGTGCTCAATATATTGCACATATACATGTGATTAAAGATGGTGTAATATAAAAAAACTAATCATTGAAGGTCTAAATTGAGAATTGTGGAATCTTTCTATGTATAAAGTTGATGATTTAATTTCGTGCTAGTCAAGCAAAGGTGGGAGACCTATCAAGGCCGCCTAATATACGTTGAGGCCTAAAACGAAAATAATAATTAAGTTTTTTTTTAGTATTAATAAATTTTTAATTTTTTGAAATATAAAATATATGACTACTAGTGCTACCATTGGTTTGGCAGTGCATCTCTACTCCCAAGTTCTCTGTTAACGTTAATGCTGAACTTGTTGGGTTCTTCCCTAGCATGAGAGGCTTAAGGCAAGGTGATCCTATTTCCCCTACCTCTTTGTGATTGCAATGGAGGTATTATCCCTTACTATTAAGCAGCATGTCCCCTCTACTAATGCTTTCAAGTTTCATTGGAGATGCAAGGATGTTAAACTCACCCACCTTATGTTTGCTGATGACATTTTGCTCTTTTGTCACAGGGATCCTTCTTCTACAAAGGTATTCAAAGACTCTTTGGACAAATTCCAAGCTATGTCTGTGCTGCAAGTCAACCAAGCTAAAAGCAGTCTCTTTATGAGTGCTATCAATAATGAGTTTAAGGACCAAATTGTGCATCTTTTCGGCTTCCCTCTGGACCAGCTCCTTGTCAAGTACTTGGGCATTCCACTGATATCCACTAGACTGAAAATCCTTCATTGTAATGAGCTCATCATTAAAATTGAGAAGAGAATTAACTCTTGGACTAACAGATTTTTGTCCTTTGCTAGTAGATTGATTTTGATTCAGAGTGTCATTCACAACATGCATACTTATTGGTCTGCTCACTTATTCCTGCCTCCACAGATCATTGATAGAATCGAATAGCTTATGAGGAGATTTCTATGGAATGGGAATGATATGAGAAGAATCGGTGCTAAAATTTCATGGGATGATGTCTGTAAACCTAAGGAGGAGGGTGGGCTGGGTATAAAAAGGATCAAAGATTGTAACATTGCTATGATGATGAGGTATATTTGGTTGTTTTTTACTGATAAACAATTTGTGGGCTAAGTGGGTTCACATTTATCACTTAAGGGGCAGAAGTTTCTGGAGAATCAAAGCTTCGCAGACTTGTTCTTGGAACTGGCTGTGCCTGCTCAAATTAAGGCCCTTTTCCAGGCCATTCATCAAGTATGTGATTGGTAATGGTCAAAACACAAAGTTATGGTATGATAATTGGCATCCTTTGGGTCTCCTGGATTTATTTGTTGGTATGAATGGTATTGAAGAGGCTCTGTTTAATTTGGAGGAACCTGTCAGCAGTATTATACTTAATGACCAATGGCAATGGCTTCTTTATTCCAATCCCCCACAGGAAGTGGCCATTTCCATGTCTTCCTATCTCCCTAACTCTGCTCTTGAGGACTCTGTTAAGTGGATCCCTAATGGCAGAAGGGGATTTAGTGCCAAATCTGCTTGGGATCAAATCAGAATAAGGGTTTCCCCTGTCTGCTGGTATAAACTTGTCTGGTCCAAAAATTCTATACCTAAAACGTGTTTCATTCTTTAGCTTGCTGTTAGGAATAGACTCAGCACCCTTGATTGTATGCAATCCTTCGCTGCCCACTTGGGTATTGGGTGTATTCTTTGCAGGTCCTCTCCTAAATCCCATTCCCATATATTTTTTACTTGTTCTTACTCCTCTAGTGTTTGGTCTACTATTTTCTCACGTGCTGGGGAGTTATGGCAACCTAAGCCTTGGAATGAATTTGTTAACTGGGCTGCTCTTAACTGGAAGGGCAAGTCAATGAAGAAACTGATATGTAGAATCTGCTTGGCTGCTACTGTTTACCACATGTGGATGGAAATGAATAATAGAAGATTTAGAAACCAGTTCAAGGACCCTAATTCTGTTACCCATCTTATCCTACAGACTATTTGGAGTAGATTGGCTTCCCTCAAATTCAAGCCCTCCTATAGAAATCTCCATACTATTCAGTATTAGAGTCTTCCAACTAGTTGCCTTTCCTAGTGACACTCCCTGTGGCTTGGTGGAATTTGTCTGGTTGTCGTCACTGTCTACTGCTACAAATGCACTGCTTAATTTGGGGTTCCATGGGTTTCTTGTTTTGATTTCTATTATCTATGATGATTTCTACTGGTGATCACTGCTGGATTTGTTGGTTTTCTTTTTGACCTCATATTGGTTGATGTTGATGTAAATTTACACATGTTGCTTTAGACCCTCATGTTGCTGTTGGTCTAAGGTTGCTGGTTTTCATATTTGGATTATGGATTTCTTTATATTGGTGGGTGGTGATGTTCTCTACATATGCTGCTTATGATCCTCACGCTACTGCTGTTTTCTTTTTTCTTTGGGTGGCTTGTATTTGTTCAGACATTTCAGGAAATGGTTTCTTTTATTCAATGTGCTTCATACATCAATGTCTACAATTTTTTTCAGATCTAGTTCTCTGTAGCTATCTCCGATTGCCCTATGGACTATGGTTCTGCTGGTTCTGTTTTCTGCTGGAATTTCTCTTGCACCTGTGGTGGTCCTTCAAGGCGGAGCTGCTGTGTCAGATTCAACATTCTCATAGGAAGGCATGGGATTACCTTCCCTGGGCTATCCTCCTCATTTTTCTTGGTGACTTTTGGTTTTCGTTGATCGCCTTTCCTTACTTCTATTTTTTTCCTCTTGCGCTTCATGGTGGTTTCTGTTGGCTTTTGCTTGCTAATGTGTTGCTTTATAGAGGGAGGCTGACTCTTCTTATTCCTGGTTCTCTGCATCTGGCGCTTGGCTGGAGGACTGGTTCATGCGCTTATTTCCTGCACTTATTTCCTTGTTGCTCCCCGATGTTGCTGCTTTGCCCCTTCAGCTTTGGTGATTGTTTGTTGGTACTGACGGCTTATGTTGTGGTACTGATGTTGGTGCATTGATGTGTACTGTTGGTGCCTCTCCTGCTTGCCTCTCCCTTGTTGCTAGGGTATGGATTGTTCTGTGCAGATATGGATCCAGTCTGAAACCAAACAGTCTCTCCTGTTTGTCTAGTTTGTTACATTATTCTCTTGTTTGTAATTCTGTGGGTGATACCCTACTCATTTATAGGGCATCCCTTATAGAATTGTGTTTACCATGTATTTATTTTTTGGTCTCTGAGTCCTATGCGACTTCACTGTTCTTTTGTGGGTGATTACCCTGTATATTTGGTTTTATGAATACATTTTACTTTCCAAAAAGAAAAGACTGTCTCACAAATCTTTGGCATTAAATCAACTAGTACAAGGCCCTTTGACTTCAAAAAAAAAAAAAAAAAGATTAAAGTAAAATGCTAATATACTAAAAATTATAATTTTTTGATGTACAAATTACAATTACAAATGACACGATCAATTTTCAAGTTTTATGATTGATAATGAAAGTTATAATTCTTAAAAATCAAATTATAATTTTTAAAATCAATTATAAATAATCTCAAATGTTTGTAATTTTATATTTAAAAGTTATAATTTAACCATAAACGATAATAACTTTTGGTATGTCACCAAAAAAATTTGTAGATACGAAAAATTTAAATTTTGTTTTTTTGAACGAGGCGGTTGTCTCAAGTGTCATTTACTAGTGTTAACGACCTATTTTTTAACTCTAGTTGGCCGGTCAAAATCATATAAAAAAAGGCACCCAAGATATCCGAAGTTGACCGGTCTCTCTCATCCTCTCTCAACTCTAGACTAAGGCGCTGTTTAATAACACTACTATTGATTTTGACAACAAATTAGGTTTAGAATAGATTTGATCCCATGATTTTCATCCTAGATTGGCTTTCACATGTTAAAATTGCAGACACAAGATCTGTAGGTCAATTTACGGTTTACATAGACATCATTCTATGCAGTCTCATCATTAGTTTGAAGATATAATCTTTATGGCCTTCCACCAATGTTGTCCTAGATAACAGCACTTAGGGTTGGGACCTTGGCTTGTTAGAAAAGACCTTTATATGTATTTTTGTTATTTTCTCATGCTAATGATACATCAACCATAATGACAAATAACATGTGCAAAAATATACAAAATGAGTATGGACAATCACAATCATACGATTACAATTCCATCAATCATGGGATTTTTTTTTAATTAATAAGTACGAGACTATATAAATCTAAAACTTCATAACTCTAAACCATTTCATAACGAAATCTGGGGGCTGTGCTGTCATTTGCACGGCATTACATGAAAAGAAGAGAGCCCAACGTAGCCAAGCGACGAATTGCTGACAAAGTGATACAAGTTCGCGACATGCACATCACTCGAAATAATGCCGGCAATTCATCCTTGGCTCCTTTGCACTCTCTTCCGTTTCAGGCAATGCCTTAAAACAATCTCTAACTTAAGCTCTGCATTGCAGCTGGTTTCCACTGAAAATAAGAAGCAGTGTAGTTGGGATATATATAGGAAAGGCAAAGTTGACGAATGCATGCACTTAAACAAAACAGGGTGGTAGGAAAAAATATTAGGTGTAACCGTTACATCATGTTATTGTGTTGATATAGTGTAATCGTCCATTAATAAGATAACATGTGGGTATCTGATCACACATATTCTAGTAATTACTCTATCATGTCATTTAATAATTACCTAAATGAAGTTTACCTGCTCATTTATAGATTTATTATTGAATGATAATATTATGTATTAATGAGAACATCATGTCACTATTACATCCAAATATTTTCTCGAGGAATGGGAATGGATATATATTCTCAGTACTGACTAAGTTTTTAGAATAGCATGTGACTGCCATATTATTCAAAGTTCGTGGCTAAATGGCTCAACATGGGCACCCATAATATTCTTCTTTCATCCAAAAGCTTTATTCAGTTGGTCAGATCAGCATTATATTTGTGGTCCCAGCTAAAGATTTGGAATGGTTGACATTGTTAGGACTGTTGGCTTATGGTAGGAATATAGAATCTAGAGAGAGAAAGAGGGGGGAGGGGGAGAGGGACTTACGGTTAGAATTTAAGTATTCCATTTCAAAGCTTTCTTCTTAAATGGTTCGAATATTTTAATATTTCTTTTCATTTTGGTTTTAGTTTTGGCTTTTATTTCTTTATTATAAGTGATGAACGTTACAATTTATTTAATTTTAATGGCACATTTTATTAATGTTCATTATATGCCCGTTATGTTATGGCCATGGGTTCGCCACCCCCATATTCTTGACTTTGTCACCTTTATATTTCGGGGCTTGTGATTACTGACAAGTGTTGTTTTTGCAAGTTATTGGCTGGTTCTTAGATTCAATACGATATCTAGAGAACTCAGCTGTATTTATAGCAGTTGTTGGATGCTTCTAGACTTGCAGGCCAACTCATTTCAATACCTGTTATCTTTGCTTTACATTCTGGTTTATGGTTTAACTCTTAATCGCATACTAGTTAACTGTTGTTAATTAAAATCACACTGTTGATATGTTAGACTATTGGCATCTTGGAAGGCATTGAGTCTCACATTCAAAAGGCTCACCCATTAACACATCGGAGGAGCAAAAGAAAACCCCCCAAAAATAGAATGCAAATATCACATCATCATTGGAGGAAAACTTCATTTAGGACTCTGATTCAGACAAACCACTAGTATTCTTAAATAATAAATAAAGTATTATTGAAATCTATGCATGTGCAACGCATGTCGTGTGTTGCTAGTATTCTTAAATATATACGTAGGTAATGTATCCTTAAGACTAAGAGTTTCTCCGATAATATTCTCCACATCTTTTTTAAAGTAAAGAACATCTTTGACAAAAAGTTGAAATACGGACTAAAATTTTATATATGACTTCAATAGATTTTTTTTATTCTTATTATTTTATGCTTTGTCTTTTTATAGGATTAAATAGCTAGAAGATTGAATAGATTCGTCTTGGAATTGGGTTGAAGATTGAAAATTTCATCCATTTCATAGACATTTTCATTGCCATGAAATGGGAAATCCATTTAGTTGCTGTAAAGCATGAGGTTATTAAATAAAAAAAATAATACTTTACAGGAATAAAACATGAGGCTTCCAGGAACTTTACTGCATGTATTAGACACTTAGAAGAAATTTAGGCAAACAAAGGAAAAAAAAATCATATGCACAGATCGATACAATCCATATTACTGTACACAATTAATTTAATCTTCTTAGCTAGTCAAATTGGAAAGCCACAGTTCATCGCCAACTGTACATGAACCTAAAAGTAACGAAATATAATAAGTATATGATACGAATTGATGAAATATATATCTATACTAATTATTGCCCGTACCTAAGGGCATAAAATAATAAAATAATTATAAATTATAAACATATTTGTATTCACATCTAAAATTAAAACACAAACGTAAAGAAAAGAGAAAATATAATTTAAGCACTGGTTATAGTGGAACTGAGCGGTGGTAGTAGTGGTGGGCGGTGACGATCGTGGTGGTGGTGGTGGTAGCCGTGAGTGACAATAGTGATGGTGGTGGGGCGACGACGGTGCTGGTGGGGTGGTGATGATGCTGGTGGGTGTGAGTGGTAGTGGGCGATGACGGGTGCTTGCAGGCGACAATGGTGGTGGGTGGTGGCGAATGACGTGGTGGGATGATGGTTAAAAATATAAGAATGAAATGTTGATGGTGGTGAGTGGTGACAATGGTGGTGGTGTTAGTGGTGGGGCAGTGGTGGTGGTGGTGGTAGTGGGGTGGCGACGGCAGTGATGGTGGTGAAGTATTTGTTGGGTTTTCCTCCTTTGTGGGACTCATCAATTTGCTAATTTTTTGGTGGCTTACCCGTGTATGACTCTTATCCAAGACTTGGTTTGGAGTCTTCTAGTTAAAAAGGAATTTGGCAGCCACCAAAGACTATAAGTTTTGTCCTTTTCTTTGGTTCATCTCTTCTCGGTTGGTTAGGCAAGAAGACATATTTTCGGCAGTCTTTGGTTCAACAAAAATTCAGCCTTCTTCTTCTCCTTTTTGGTGCCAGAAAAATCTGCAAATTTGTTCTTCAAGTGGGTAACATTTCTTCACTTGATATTTGGGTTTCTTGCGGTTTGTTCTTGGAGATTTGGTTCACTTATTTTGTGAGGTATTTTCCTCTTGTGATTTACACCTTGGTGTGTTTGTAAGGCTTATGCCTTTTGGCCACTTTGTAATCTGATTTGGTGATAGTGGAAGAAACTGACCTACCGGTCGTCGTGGATGTACCTCAAGTTATTTGAGGGAACCACGTAAATCTTGTGTGCTTATTTATTTTCTGTTATTTTATTTATATTGCTTCCATTGATTTACACTTGTGGGAAAGCCTATTTTCCCAACATCTGGTATCAGAGCAATTGGTTAATTCGGTTCCGATTCGTTATATTTCTGTGTGTGAATTATGGACGGCAACGTTGGACGTATGGTTAGTTTCAATGGCACAAATTGGGTGACTTGGAAAACTAAAATGGAAGATCTTTTATTTTGTAAAGATTTGAATGGACCCATAGAGGGTGATAGTGGCAAACCGGAAGGGATGAAAGATGACGAGTGGAAAAAGCTAGACCGGAAAGCTGTCGGTTTTATTCGGCAATGGATTGATGATAGTGTCTTTCATCATGTCTCTACAGAAAAATCTGCACATGGTCTTTGGACCAAATTGGAGAGTTTGTATGATAGAAAGACGGCAGTGAATAAAGCCTTTTTATTTCGAAAGCTTGTGAACTCTAAATATAAGGAGGGTACTTCTATTGCAGAGCATTTGAATGAGATTAAGAGCATTGTGA